TATTGTTTGATGAATTTTCAAAGATCTTGCATACAAAGACCTCTCAATACTACTGCAATTTTTTAATTTATTTCTAATTCTACATTATTCCATATTTTTGATAATTAGGTTTTTTCTGCATTCTCAAATTCTTCGAAGAAAACAATGCTGAATTCCTTTAGGCCTAATGATTGTCCAGTAGAAATTATAGACAAGGAATTAAATGAAATGCCTGAAAGTGAGCATGACTTAAAGGGACATTGAAGTAAATATTTTTTATTGACTTATGATGGGGGTGAATATGATGTGATTTTTTTTTGGGGGGGGGGGATTTACTTTATTGTGTCTGAACGATTTCCTGAAAGTTTTAAAATCAGTGCAATGTGGAAAAACAACATTTTCCATTTCAATATCCATGAGATATTAATAGCAAACTCATGGGCCATGCAATAACATCAAATATAATTACATTATTTACTACATTACTATCTTATTATATCAAGACTCTCTTGTATCATATAATGACTCTTTACAACGCCTCAAACATTTAAAGGAATAAAAGTTCACAAAAGAAAAGAAAAAATATTATTTAATTGAAATAGTTTAATTATTCTACCACATTTACAGCATATTATCTATCTTGTGAGTGAAATCCATCTACAATGAAGCAAATATATTTGTTTTATTTATTATTGTACCTTTCTTTAAGGAGATACTGAAATATTAAAAGTACTTGTTTCCATTTTAGAACACTATAAAATTAGCATCAATTTTGTTTTGTTGTTGGAATTTTGATTTTGCACATTTACTCTTTATGTGCTTAATATATTGAAATTTTAAGTGAATATTAACCAAATTTTCTATTGTGTTTATAATAGAAGGATTATTGGGCATAGAAATCCGAAGGAGAAAACATTTCTGTTAACTGAATTTTGAGAAGTACTTTGAGGTATTTAACATGCATGTAAAAAAATAATTTTCTTATTATAATATTTATGTCTTCTTTGGTTTTCCTTGTTCTACTTGCTATAGGACTCTTAATTTATTAACTAACAGTGAGGTATGTACTTTGGAGTGTCAAATTAAGAAGAGTTAAGGTTGCTTAATTATTGTGGAAAAGCAGAATAGTAAATTATTTGATCCATAATCAGTTTTTATTGACACAAGTGCATTATCGGTTGCCGTACAAAAAGTTTCAACAATATATTAATATGAGTGAAATATTTTAATGGATGGACTCAATATTAAATTTAATATTATTTTGAATTCCCTCCTCCTTTGAATACTGTTATGTCACTTTTGGCTTTGGAAGATTCAAACCGAATACAGAAGCCCAGTATTATAATTTATTTAGCAATTTTAAAGTAGCTCGTCACTTGTTAACTATTTTCAATAAAAATAATGTAGCATCGTCTGTATATAAATATTTTCAATGGGTTTGGTTATATTTTATTGTTTTGTGGTTTACACTACCAAAATAATATAAATAGAAACAATAATTAGAAAATGTTAGCCTTGAACACAAATCCTTGTAGAATGAATTGGCTACATCAAGTTTATTACACAAAATATTATAAAATTTAATTTTAATGCTTTTTGTCTTGAAAAGTTGTTAATAAGAATATAAGGTACGCATTTACACTTGTTTGAAAAAACAATGAAAGTTAATACCACAAGTCTTTCCATGTGATGCTTGGTGTCATAAGCTTTATCAATATCTAGTCTAATTGACTAATGAAGGTCGATTGTTGGATAATTTTTTCTCAATTCACTCTTTATTGGTGATAAACCTGATATACATGTGGTAAAAATGATATTCTATTAACAACTTATCTCAATTTACAGAGTCAAGGTAAAAAGAAATTGGTCTGTAACTCTGTTTTTTGTTAGGCATTATTCTGGAATTACAATAGATTCTCTCCAGGAAACACAATGAAAATAAAGATTTCATTAAATAAATTAATAATATTTAATAAGCTGTTTCAAAAATCAGTTATATACAATAATAACCCAAGACTTGAATTTTACTGTGATATTTAAAATGTTATTTTCAATGGAGATAAAAGATTAAATTAACATAGAACATTTAATATTACATGCAAATATTTTATCATAACATATTTAAAAAAACAAGTTAATACGCCCGGAATTATTGTCTTGGATTATCATCACTAATGTTATCAGGATAAGTAGATGATGAGATATTCGCAACATTTTTGTTATATATGAAGAATATGTTACTCAAAATAACAGTTTTTGGAATTATCAACATTTTTCCCCACCATTTTATTACGTCTTCTCAGCACTCAGAGATAAAATGATGAGAAATGACTGATAGAGACAGTGCTGAGTTGATGAGTTGATTTAGTCAGAGATAATATTAACAAGAAAAAATGTTTCCAATATTATTGTTTTCTTGCTTTATATTTTCCTCTTCGTTTGTATTTTCTTAACCCATATTTTCCCATCATCCTTTTAAAAGAACACAGGAAATTTTCATTTTATTTTATTAAATCAAATGTCTTATATTGTGAATTTATTTCCTCAATAGACAGATGTCATAAGCAGAAGTACAAACAAGTTTTGGAATCATACAGGAGAATGATAAATGTCAATTTAGCCGTGAACACTACTACAGATATTATTTTCTCACACATTTAAAAACCATATTTGGAATTATCTTTTAAACACAATTGAGGATTAATTGTGCAAATATTTCTATTTCCTCAATGATGCCTAATACAAACACTTGATGATATGAAGTAGTTTCTTCTAATATAATTGCATTGTATCTAATGAAGTCAGTAGGGCAGAATTGTTTCTTTTAAGAAAATTACATCAGAGGTATTAATTAGTCTTTCTTGCAGTGCTGCGCTATGGCAAGTTTCTCCAATAGATATAATCATCTTTTTATTTGAAATCTTATTTATATTTTTTGTCTAAATTTCCAAGAGTATTGAATAAGAGTGTTTCCCTCTCGGCCATTGTACAAAATAATTATTAATATTCTGCCATATTGTCAAGTTGACGATGTTCTAAAGACCTACTTCACATCAGACATGTCACTTCAGACTCCCCTTGGTGTTATTACTCTTGGTCTTTTTTCTGTTGAAACTAATGTCAATTGATCTTTCTGTTAAGCAAGGATGGATTTTAGTCAAAATTTGCAGATAAGATAAACTGAATGTCTTATAATATTTTGCTAAATATTTGAATTGTCAACAAGGAACTTTTTAAAATATATTTTAAATAGTAATTGGTTTGTAATTAGTATGAGGTAATCTATGAGTCATCATCAATAGATTTTTTTTATTTTGTCAATGAGTTTTATGAAGTCAATGGGGTTGTTCGTTTGAAGGACTCTTAACATTTATCAAGTCTTCTTTTATATTAGTGCTTCATAATTTGCATTTTTGGACTTTATATTTGTGTTTCAACTTGTGAAAATGTTCCACTTTCTAAAGTTGTTTTGAAAAACACAAGGTAGGTAAGTTATTGTCCACTAGATCTGAAACCTAGTTATCCAAGTTTGTGGGGCCACAATTGTATTACATTAATATTTTTTTACATCATTCCCATTGCTAGTTCAGACTGCCCCTACTTTCATATAAAACATGTCAGAGGCTGTAATGAAATAAATGCTAAAAGTAGAAGGCTACTATCATACAATTCAATTATTAATTTAAATAGCTTATGAATCTTCTGAAAATATGGACATGTGTCCTTAAAACTGCTAATATGAGAAAGTCCTATTGCAAACGAGGATCCTACTTACCTCTTGAAAGATATAAAAGGTCTACTACATTGGATATAATTTCCCTATAATATTTAGTCTACTTACTAGTTGAATACATTTTCCTTACAGTTAACAGTAATGTGGGTCAGCAATTTTTTTGCAACAAAAGAAATGGCCTTTGAATCTTCTGTTGCTGGCACAAGTAGTGGTAGGTGCCATGTTGACATTCTTAAGTTACGACAATTTGGAAATTCGATACTTAGGGCTTAATTTTTTAAAGGCAAGACATTACTGGCGATAACCCGACAGATTTCCTACAATCGGGCTCTGATAGTGGGAAATGGATGACTTTTCTTGTATTAACATTTAGTCTTGTTTTGAAGAAGGTCCTACTACATCCACACTGAATCTTGAAAATATTGTATATTCGTAAACAATTCACCTAAACGCTAAAAGAAAAACAAACAACCAAAAATATGTAGCAGGGCATATTTGCTTTCGGCCATAGGGATCACTTTGTTCTAGTTGCGTACGTGATGTTGTAGTTCGTTTGCCGATGGAAATATTTTTATTTATTATATAATTTTTATTAAGTTACTTAGGTGAGAATATTTCTTCTTTTCAACAACAACTTGTTGGAATCTTTATTAATAATTCAACAATGTATTATAAAAGGGGGAGGGGGAATTCTTAAACTCAATAAAACGCGCATGTTAGGCTTCTCCCCCATACGTCGTATATAGTTTTTACTGCTTTTGAAAACAATTAAATTAAGTAAAATTTAATTAAATTAAATTAAACTATAGTTTCAGTTACCTTACAAATATAAATTATGGACTTAAAAACGAAAATGTGCTCTGTTGTAATTGCAATAATTCTAGCTTTTCATGTAATCACGTGATGTGTTTTCCCTGAGGGATCAGTTGTGCAAATATTGTCACTCCATCGTATTACCTCTGTGAAGTGAAGTTCGATTTGTTTGCTAGTGATATTTTTGCTGTGAGTAGTCTCTGGAAGTTTCTCACTTGTCTTTTCGCTGTTTGTTAAGTTAGTTAAGTTTGTCGCTTTTCTTATTTTCGCTCTTTGCAAACTTCACACGCTACTCTTTTTTCCGTGGTCGCCGCACCGCTGAAAGGTACGTGTTTTATGAATCAATTACTTTCTTATTTTTATGGATAAATTGTAAAGACGGAGTCAAATAGAATAAGCGAATTTTCGCTTGCTATTCAAATTTGGCCGATATATCGCCTTGTTAGTTATTGAATCGGGTGTATGTTTCTTGCAGAACGACTGTCAACGGGCCTGTTGTGCTGTACCTTTTCTACTAATTCGTCAAAATGGGAATTTGGGGATCTCGTCCAAAGCCAATCCCCGAGGATATATATCCTGGGCCAGAATTTTACGATCTTCTGAAGGTAAGAATGAACACAACAGTAATAATCAACAGGTGCACGCTATTTTATAGGACACTATAGTCTCAAAATAAGGAATGCAAAATTGTAATACTACTGTGTTTTAACGTGTTCCTGATGCGTTTGTATCGTATTATTGCATAAGAAATGTAATATTATCTTTGGAATGTTCACAAAATGTATGAAACATAGTAGATGATTTGCGATATTAATCCGGTAATGTGTAGTAAATATTTTTATGAATGAATGATCGTGTGTGTATGTAGTCAAACTAACTCTGATCCAATTTTTTTGTTTATCAACTAGTTATCAATTACAAAGTTAAAAATTACATTGACATTAAATTGATTGAATACGTAATGAAGAGACTCCATTATGAAATTGTGTGATGAATACACAATTCTACTGCAATAAATCAAATAAACCACCACTCCTTATGCAATTGTGCAGTTGTAACATGTGCTGGATATGTTAAGAAAAGTCTGTCCATTACTGCTAAACTACTATTTTCTTTTCTAAATTCATATTTTATTGTTTTTACTGTAAATGAAATAAAATTAATATTATATTATATAGGTATAAATGTCTAATTTGTCTTCTCATGCATGGGTTGTGGTATTTTATTATTATTATTATTATTATTATTATTATTATTATTATTATTATTATTATTATTATTGCTGTTTTTTTGTTGTTATCAATGTAAACATTAACAAACTAACACACTTAAAACATATCAATGATATGTTACTCTTATCACAAGGTAATCTATTTGTTACCTGAATTACATATTACTAAACCGTATTTTGTATTAACAAAATGAAATAGTCTAGTTCTGAAGAACCAAATGATTATATTGACGAAACATCAGCAATGTGATAAATTAAAATATTGAGTAAGCATGGTTATTTTTTTCTATATCTATCCACAAGATAATAATTTATTAAAATTGTAGCTGAGGTACCTGGCATTCTCCGAGTATTTATAAAAATTATCATTTTTGCCAGAAATAGTAATAAATTCTATGTACAGTGAGCACATATCTACAATAATCGTATTTTATTTACATCATTCCCAACTCCTTCCAATCCCGCTTCATCCTACTTGCATAATATGCTTAGCAAGTTGGGTACTAAAAATTAAACTGTAATGATAGCCTATAATCAAAGTCATAAAACAAGATATTAAGTTGGGCAATGATCTACCTTCGCGTCTATAATATAATTAAAATTTTTTCAGCCGTGAAGGAAAAGATAGTTGTTAAACATAAACTACTTTAATTTTTACTTATATACATGTAGATTAATGTAGACTGGATGCACTTCTGGTTTAGGAACATTAAAATATTACTAAATCTCTTGACTCGGCTGTGGCAGGGAGATGCGAAAAATTAGAATGCAATTCATTTGTCGTTTATTGCATACATAACCATGTAGGCCATTTTTCGTCTTTGAGAAAACACAATGGAGGTGAGTTAAACTTGTTCTTTCTCTTATTTTTTTCCTGTTCGTCGTCATATCGCCATCTTCTTTGTCTTTGTCTCCGCCTTTTTTCTTAATCTTCGATTTAATCTTCGTCTTGATCATCGTCTTAATCTTCATCTTTTTCTTTATTCCGATGTTTTAACTATTATTAATGTCGCATGACTATATTTACAATGAGTCGATGCTTAATGTGTGTAACCCATAAACGTCATGCGGGTTGCCTAATGAATATAGCTGATAAGTTAATGCAATTGCAGGTATTTCGATAATGATCATTAGATCCCCGATGTTTGGCAAAAGACCTTTTTATAATAGTTACGAATTTTAACAAGATGAATCACTTAACTGCAGTTCTGGAATCGTTTTAGATTTTCATTTTGCCTTTTTTGTCCGTATTATGTCGGGAAGGAACTCGCAAAACATTCACATGCTGCTATCGTTCAGTCTCTTTTAAATAAAATTGATTTTACCTAGGCAGCTCCGGGTCTTCCCATCCTGATGACTGAAAAAAATTAAGTCTACTATTTAAATTAAATAGATGTTCTTTATTCTACAGAAAGATAGATTATCTTATAATGAACTTCGCAATTACCATATTACCAACTTTTATTATCGCGAAGGCTATGATGCAGAACAAGGGAATCAAATAAGGATCTTTCACGTGGAAGTGGTGTTTTATTTCGAAATGGTATTGATTCTATATCGAAATCAATAAATTAAATGATATCGATTCGAATGCCATTACTGAATTAAATGTATTAATGTATTCAATTGAAAATATTTTTAAAATATTGTGAATAGTCCTAACATTATTCTCAATCTTACTTTCAATCTCCTCCAACAACTCCTTTCAATTGACCTCCAACAAAGTGATCTATAGATTATGCCATGTTCTAAGGAAATTTAGAGACTCTAAACAAAGTCAACAATCGCTCTAAACGAAATCAGTAATCATCATTGTTGTAAGCGGAAACTTTAACATTAATATTTTGGTCGAATCTCACCGAAAAGAAGCATTTCTCAACTTAATTGATTCATTCGGTGTAAATATTACATTAAAAGTACTTACACGGACCACTCTTTATTCAAAGAAAGGAATCAAATTATAATTAACAAAACCGCCACTAGATATGAAATTGTAAAGACACAATTAGGCTACAGTTACAACAATGTACAAATTTTTACAATTACAAGAACTGAGAAAACCTACATATTAAATAATAAATGTACTTATAGAGTGTTTACTGAAAGTAAAATAAAATTATTCATACACTACTCAGGGCAGGTATTATGGCACGTTGTTTACAATATTGTGATAGAAATAACAAATAAATTAATTGAATTCATTTCACTATAATAGGCGATTTACTCTTAAAAAAGAAAATTAAGTATTTCACGAAAAAAAAAAGAATTTGCATGACATGAGGGATTAGAAAATCGTGTAAAAACCTAACGAATTCTTTATTTCATAAGATATTCGGTCGGTTTAGATCAGGAGTTGCAAAGAGGTGAGAATAGACACTCTGGGGTCTGTGAAATTTTGAAGGGACCGATTAAATGATAATCAAGGGTCGAATGAGGGTCATTGGTAAATATAAACGAGCGATAGGTAGGTATAATCAAGATTCTAAATAACACAAAATATATGAATTAACTTGTCATTTAATTGTTTTTGTAATAAAGTAACAACAAATAATAAATTGCAAATTCGCTCCTCTTCTTTCGTATTTATTGTTTATCCTCAGGATGAGGGGCATATTTTGGCTGGTGCGACCGGTGCACCACACCTGACAGCCGAAGTAAGGGGGCTAACGATACTCTTACCGCCTTGATTAACGACCCCCCATGGTTGGGTATCGGCAAACAAATACAGCTCCATGGTTATTTTCTCTATTGTAGCGACCATGTTCTTATATCAGATTCAAAACTTTTAATTTTCCGTTTATTGTATATTGGAGCCCCGTTGTGACTTTCAACACCGAGTCATCCGAGAACGGATTAGGAAGTTTAGAATTCTTAACAAATCATAACTAACAATTCACAACAAAACTATCGCAGAAGAAAATACTCCTTGTAATATGCACCGGAGAAACGTTAAGGCCAGTCAAAAATCGCTCCACATTTTGTAAACATTGCACAACAATGAAGATTACAATCTAAGCTACTCAGAAACTAAAGAATCTTGAAATTATTGAATATCTATATATTTACTATCTCTGTGTGTGCTTGTACGTGTCCGTAATAAATATTTTCAATAAAATAAATCACTAAAAAAAGCGCGCAAAATATACTTCTCTTCCGTACGTCACGTTCAGTTCTTCTGTACTTCGACGAAAATAAATCAAATTAAAAATTCCCGTTTACACCACACAGAGCTCACGAAAACGTGAATAGATAGAGTATCTACCTTTTTCGGGAATGAGATGTGAAGAGGGTGTGAGGGAGGGAGGAATGGAGGGGACGGACGAAGGAGGGGAAGCGATCCTCCCTGAGCCTGCGGACTACGCAGGGTGCAACGGCCGCGAATTTACGGAGGATCTCGCATGCCGAGCCTGCGCGCCATCCGGCGCTAATTGATAGATCCCGGCGCCCGAGCCCCGGCGAGGGCAGGGGCGACGCGACTGCGTCGGACATGACGCGTCCAACCGCAGCCTCCCAATCGGCCGACCTGCACGCCCGTTCATACTCCTGCGTAAACTGGAAGCGCCAAACACAATCTCACTCCTGGAGCCCGCTGCCGGGTTGGATATGACATTTGGCTCCGTACACTCCACGTGGGAATGTGATTTGGCATCCGCGAACTCGCTGTAGTGCTAGAGTATTTCGATTGATTGATGGGTTTGGCACGTCCACTGCTACGAACATTAGTCCCAATAGCGTAGTGAATGTAATATCCCGGGAGGAGGAATTCCTCCTATGTATCTCCTCCCAAAGGGACACCGCCGCTTTCGGGACAAGCAGTACGATCCTTATTGTTCTCCCAACATGTGAGACAGTGTAGTATACGTAAGTGTAAATTAGTGTTTATAACGAGAGAGAAGACCAGGATGAGAAAGGAATGATCGCGCGGTCCAGGGCCCGTTTGATAGGATAATGTTCCAGCATCCACCTGGCATTGACAGGAAAAACTACTTTAAAGTACTCATTAGAGCAGACAACTTCTAGAATTTTCTCTAGACGGCGGCTGAATGCGACCTAGCTTTATCGCCTAGGTAGTGTCGCAAATCCGCCATCGTCGAGCCTCGAACTCTAGGCCTTTCCTGAATCGCTACAGAGACAGCGGCAATACTGGCTCTGGGCTAAGTCAGTCGGTCCGAATCTTTCCAGATTATGGATAAGTGGATAGATGGTTATTTGAGATTTAGTGTCGAATTCAGAGGATGGATGAGAGGAAGGGAGTCATGGGTCCATATAACCCTTCCAGTCTCCCCTCCAACAATCCTATGAATGAGTTTCGTAATTTTACACAAAAACTAATTTTGTACTCAACGAATAAATTTCGTAACTTTCAAAATTCAGTGATTTCAAACAAATTAAGTTGTGTACCATTCTCTGAAGACAGATGGTCCCTTACGCTTATCCGTGGAAAAAGTTTAATATAAAATCTGTAACTATTTTTGATAAAAATTTGAAAATGAGACCTCATGCGAAATACCCCAATATTAAAATATAAGTTTCACACTCAAAAGACCTCGACTTCATTTAAATTGATACAGCAATATCTATTTACGAGAAAATCGGCTTAACGGTTTTTGGCGCCAGCTTTGAGTACAGACGGACAGGTGGACAGAATGGCGGACAGACTGAAATGCAGATGGGCAGTAGGAGGGACGGACAGACAGAAAGACAGGTGGACAGACGAAGGGACACTCAGACAGAAAGACAGGTGGAAAGACGAACAGACATGGACGGATAGATGGACGGACAGATGGACGCACAGACGAACAGATGGACGCACAGGCGAACAGACATGATGAGGGATAAGAACACAAATCTAAAGCTGATTTGCCTTTGAAAATATATTTTATAGCAGTGAAACGAATGTTTTGTGAACAATTGTCGCTAAAAAGCACATTTCTTTCTGTATTCAGAATTCAACTTATTGGTGTAGTGTATGTATCCCACAATTAAGAAAACTTGTACAGAACGAAGAAAACTTGTGCAGAATACACTTCTTCCCGTAGCACATCATATTCAGTTTTTAACTGTTTTATTATTACTTATTAAATTATTTCTCTAAGGTCTCAATTACTCCGAAAAAGCAAATTTTTATTCTTTTAGTGGACACTGTTTTAGGTTCTATTGGAGAAATGTATACGCACGTGTATCTTTTCATTAAAGTTTTCAATTTATTAATTCTGTTCATAATTAATTTCGAGTGTCCACGTCAAAAGAGCCAAATAGGCATGTACCTGATAATTCGATGTCTAGTAATTATGAAAGCGTATCGTCGCAAATTTATCATGTTAAATAGGGTTTTCTTGGATCTACTACAAATCTGATTGTTGAAATGAACTGCGCCGTATTATTATTATGACTAGGCACCACACTCCTTGTGATCAATTGCCCTTCTTTACATGCCCAGTCCGATTATTATACTTAATGGACTAATTTAGTACAATAATTCTATGAAACTTGTTGTTCGTTTGAAATGTGTGTTCTGGCGATCACAAGCGAAAGAAAGTGCATTCTTCCCTAAGCTCTCGTTGCCACAGAACTATTATGTAATATGACAGCTTCATGTTGAGGAAATCTTGAAACACTAATGAAGAGTACTTTTACGGAAAATATTTCGACTCACCTTTTCCTCATACATAAAAGACCTTTTCGAAAAAATCTGCAAAATTCGTATTTCGCGTCCCGAGGTACATGCGAATGGGATTTCGCTACTTTACGTTGGTATACAATCTGTCTCCGTTACAGAATCGAAAAATGGATGAATTTACTAGTGGGTTTATTTCAGTAACAGCACTGTTTTCGCAATTGCAGTCCTTTCTGTTAGTGCATGCTTCTGAGAAAAGCAAAGAAGTATTTCATGAAATTGCGTTTGAATATTTCTTCATAGAAGCAAGGATTATTTATTTACTTGAGTAATACTGCAAGACATTTTTAAAATTGTCTTTGAAAAGAACAGTTGTTATGCATGGGTATCATAATTGATGTACATTTTATTACTTGTCTTTCTTAGTTGTAATTATAAACGACGAACTGCATAATCTCCAAGCATTAATTGTTGGTCCACTAAAATATTTGAAACATTAATATTAAGAAAAGATAAATAAAATTTAATATCTTTACATATATTTTAATGTTAGCAGGTGAATTTATCTTTCGCTCGACTTGTTCATTCGAGAGCCAATGCTGATATTCATTTGCCGCGTTTTTAAGAAGCTGTATAGATCACCCTCTTTCATGCACAGGCATGTCAAGGTCGCGGGCAAAGTACTAACTCCGTGGTTCACTAGAATTGGCGAGCATTGCGTGCAGAGCGACTGGTGCTTGATTTAAAAATAAAAGCTGCAAAAAGCGGTATATCACTGAATATCAGGCCAAGGACACTCTTTTGGAGAACAGTCAACTTTGGTCGACAGTTATTTTTCTTAAATTTAGTGATATTCATTCCCATTTTATCTACTAGAATTGACCCATTAAAATGAAATATTACACTAGCCGGATTTCAAATTGAAAGTAATCAGTTTGATCAATTGAAAGCAAACAACGGTCAATTGAAAGTAAAATTAATCATAATGAAATTAAATTATCTTGAATTGTTTAGCTCTGTTGAGCGAGAATGGTTAATTTAAGAAATGCTAACCTACTTCACATTATTGTTGTATTGTAAAACATCAATGAATAAATTAAAAAGCATAACAAAAAAAAACAAGGAAATAATTCGACATTTAAACATATTCTTGTCTCTTGGCAAACATTTTTAGACAAAGCAGAATCTAAAATGAAAGTAAACATTCAATAAAGTAATAAGTGATACATAATCTAAATAAATATAATGCACATCTCGGTTGTTTGTTAAAAACAATCAGACCAACATATTGTAGTATCTAGCCACTATTCTTCGCGTTACGTCAGGAACGCTTTGCGCTTACATTCCCCCGTTCTAGATTTGGAGGGGAAATCTGAGCGGAGTCAAGAGCGGTACCTAGCTTGTGCTCGCAGGAACGCTGGACTCGTGTGGGCGCAGTTCGACATGCTCCAGTAGATCGTTGCTGCGATACTTTATAACTAGGCGATTTACTCACAATCACTGAGCATCGACTTCGAAAGCAGTTTATTAAATTCATTAATATAAGATTCGTGAAGAAAATAAATATTGTTACGAAAAATCGATTAGATAAAATATATTTACATTGTGTGCATATTACGGCTTGATTGGATTTGAATTATTTTGTGAAAGAACATTTAAAACTATATGTGACATGTGGGAGGGACGTACAACCTGCGCACGTTTTGTTGACCACCACGGAGGCTTCAGTTCTAAATACTGATAATTCACAAATTTGCCGGTTAATTCGCACATTAGCCAGTCGTATGGGAAAAAGCTATATTAACGTCGATGAACGGATCATCTCGGACATTGTCTCGCTAATGTGGAAATTAGAGACAGGCTAAATTACTTTGAATGACCGAGTATGAGGCGTCTTGTGTGCGTGAGAAGTATTTCTGCGCAAAAATTTTTTGAAAATTTATACGTGATGATTTTTTTGTCCAGTAAAATCATTACAGAAAGGAATGAATTAATATATGTTCGAAATTATTGTGTTATGCAATGTCATATATTCATGTGTTTTTACATTCCTTTTTTGGCCACAAATACCTCTGGCCGTATGTAAATTGGAGAACAAATAATCCCTTAAACTTTTGTCGTGAATCCTAGTTTGTTAAACATAAATGCCTTTTTCCTGACCCGTTCGGGACAGAGCAAATACCAAACCTTACGGACTTTTATTAAAGCCTAAAATGAAGCTTAATCGTTGTGCTAATTGTTTTCAGTACCGAGCAGAAGCCGCTGACCTCTCCCCTGTGCCCGGCGCTGACAAGAGGAAGATGACTATCGCCGGTGCCCGCGACTTCCATCTGCCTGATCGCCGCCCAGTGCTGTACTGCGACGACCTCCGCGCTCTGGTTGGGGGTACCAACGTCGTCCTCGAGGAACTCCCGCAGGAGGAAGACGGACTCTCGCGCGTGCTTCTCACAGTCAGACTTCACTTCCGCAAGTATTTCTTCGTGGGGAAAGGTCGCTCCTACATGGATGCTGCTGGTTACGCTTATTTTGATGCATACATTTCCCTCACTGGCCAGCGTATCGAAGATACGTAATCATCTTCCCAATTTTTTTTACAAAACACATTCGTTTTTTGTATGTTTGTTTTTCCCAGGGCAGTCCATAGTCGTACTTTATATTTTTTTTAAACTATTTGTGACTTTATCAGGATTAAATAATGTGTTATACAGCCTGCAATTATCATATCCTTCAGAGTGCAATACCCAATTTGATATAAATGCATCCTTAGCATTTTTTAAAATTAATTTACAAATCTCATACCACTCACAAGAAAATTTTAAAACACAAAAATAACTGCATCACATTTATATCAAGTAAATATAAAATTTTTAGAGTTCCTCACATCATGACGGAACTAGAATTGTGTAAGGGTTAATCACATTTTAATAATGGAGTAAAAATTAATTTTGTACATATTTTAACATAGTTATTTTTTAATTTGTATAAATAGTGCTATAAATTTATATTTTAATTGTACATGTAATTTTCTATTTTTAAGGTAGTAAATATCTTTGTAGAGACAAATATTATGTTAGGATATGACTATGGTGCGTTAATCCAAAACCTTTAATATTAATATTGTACGTGTTCTTAGTGTTTACTTTTTCTTGGACTATACATTTTTTAATAAAAAGTCATATACTGGTCACATATATGTTTAATAATGAATAAGTATTAATAGTTTTGTGTTTAATTCTTGTGTACTTTTATGTTTTTTGTATTTTCTATTCTTGTATGTTTTTTTTGTTTATTTTGTGTTTCATTTTTATTTACTTTGTATGCTTTCTTGTTCATTTTGTGTTGTTTTGTTGCTTTTTTGTCTAGATAAGTAGTAAGAAAAGGTCACAATTTAGTAAAATTAGAGAACCACTGTAAACCTAGTTAGACTGCCTCGGGATATTCGTGGTATTTAATGCCAAAGTTTTGTAGTATTAACATAAATAAATAATTTTTTTTGGTTTAACTTGTGGTTAATCATTTTTTGTAAATCCAATGAATTGCATTACCTAATCCATTACAAACAATGAATGCTAAAACAAAACTATTATCGATTTCTTGTGTGTTTCAAAACCCATTTTGTGTTTATATTCAGTTAAAACTGGATGAGTGAGAACTGGATAAGCGAGAAAGTCGTTTTTCCCTATCTACAACCAAAACTGCTACTTGTCTACCTTTAGAAACGACAGTTGAGGGTATTTAACATGTTCTATTTATGACCCATTCTTAAATTTTGAAGAACCAAAAGGTTTTTTGTGTTCTTAAATTTCGTAAAACAAACATTGTTTTTGTATAGTATTCTATTTGAATTGCCAAATGTGCGTGTCTACCGACTTATTATTACAAGAGTTATATAGTTTCAATTTGTGAATATTAATTGCGATGAAAGGTTCAGCATATACTTAAAATGTTAAAACGAAAAATAAAAGTTGTCGAGTAATAAACTTTATATAGTTCATACGTTTAAGAGCTGGAAATCGCGAAATAAAATTCAAAGTGGCTTTGGTATATCAAAATTCACCTTTAACAAAATTATTCTATAAAACTTAAAAATCAAACATTCCAAAGAAGCTTTGAATGACGCTCCCCCAGTTTTTGAATTTGCTGCGGTTGTTGATAAAGCAATAAGATATATAAATGGGAAAAACATATTCGTAATGGAAAAACAGAAACGCAGAAGAAACGAGCGATTTTCTTTAAGCAAATATAGTGTAAGATTTGTTGTTTTCTTTTTGTAAGCATATAAGTCAAATTCTAATGAATACCTACATAGTACAAACATACATTTTTTTGGTAGAGAATTGGTCATCTTTGAACCACGCGAATGTGCATTTGTAACCATCGAGGCTCAGTCATATTTTCTAGAGGCTTGGTGCACGTTACTGTTTTGGAAGGGATCCGAATTTCTGTGCTGAATATATTTTTTACACCCCAGGGTTGTTAGCACTGGGGGATGAGATATGGAACGACGACAACGATGACGATGATGGTGAAGGGTGAATACACACACGGACATCTATGCCCCGGGCGGGACTCGAATCAGCGATCCTTCAATCACGAGGCAGCTACGGCTCTTGGACTCCTAGGCTTTCTGGGCCGCACATACATATTTATTGCTACATCTTTGCTGTATTTTTTAACTTCTATAAATGAGAAAAACTATTCCTGTACTTATGTAAGTGAAAAACTCCATAAGCGAAAAAGATTTTGCGGTCCCTTGAACTCTCGCTTATTCAGGTTCTACTGTACTTGCTTTATGACTTTAGGTACAAGGACCTATATTTTGAAAATAACTGTCTCAATTCGCAAGGATTGCTTCAACAGGGATAAATGTTTTCACATGTTTTTGTGCATGGATTGTGAGCACCTATTTAAGTCAATTGAAACGATTTATGTAATTTTATTATACTAAAACTATTAATAAGTTGTCAATATCTCAATATTAATACATAATAGTTTATTATTTTTATTAACAACATATCCATTATAAGTACCTAAATACGTGAAATACCATAATTTAAAACTTTGCCAGAAAGGAAGTATTAAATGCATTTTAATTAGATTGTTGACTCAGTATGTACTGCGATAAAACATACTTATTGCAATTACAAAATCCAGGATTGATTTAAATGGGAATGGACAATCACAAATACATCCACGCCCGAGGAGGGATTCGAATCTGCGAACCTTCGACCCGAGATCGCAACAACACTCACACTGCGCTAGCGATGACAGCTACCCGGACTGGCTTGTAGGAGTGTAATAAGTTTTAATAATTAAGTGCCACAAGATAATATTTCATCAAAAGACCCAAAGAACAGTTCTCTTCGCTAACTACACGAATATTCTTTGCCAAACAATATACAGAATACTGTGACGTAATGGATACTCACAGCGACCACAGACACAGAGCTTTCGTATAACAATATATTTATTAACAAAGAAAACAAAACAAATGTATACACTTAATAATCTACTTACACCCTAGCTCTGATAGACCTACTATCCCCTCATCGCGGGAGCGATCCAAACCCGATGGAAGATGGTTTTGATTGTGGTATTCGCCACTCCTACTTTTGAAGCGCGCACAAAGGCTAGCTTTCGTGACCGGATGACACGCTGGGACGCAAAGTCCGTTCTGGCGTACCAACGGCTGGTTTGCCTCGATCGCAGGAGCGATCTTATCCGATTGAGAATCGGCGTGAATCGTGGCACTCAACCACTCTTCACCGCGGAGCACGCACACAGCATCGCTCCCCCGTGACCGCAGTCACCCAAGGACCTACAGTCCGCAGGCTTCGTCAACTAGTGACTCGAGCCTCGAAAGCCTGGCTCGCATATGCACCGTCGTGGCGCCAAGTTTTGTGCACACTCACGAGGTTCTCCCGCTGTCTCCAGAACCCCCCACTGGCTCCGTACACTCTGTTATATAGGCGAGGCCCACGTGACCTACTACGTCACGCCACCCCCTCGCTTGTTATAACAGTGAAAAGTTTCTATAAGCCGGAAGACGCCAAGCCTTGTGTCTCCCGTTTCCGCTGTCTTGCCTTTACGGAAAAACCCTTCTTCCTGTGGCGAGGCTAATCCTCTACCAAGCGTCCCCAAATAGATGCCATGAGGCACACTGGCTAATACGTTACAATACAAATACAAACATACAGAAGAGAATTATGATTTCGAATTTTCTAATTGGTTACGTAATAACAATAATAATCGAAGGAAAAACTATTTCTCTGCAGTTTTGCGTTTCAAATAAGCAATTCAATGCACTATTGAAAGTCAACAATAAGCAAGTGGCTGGTATTAAAATTTCTGGGTCTTTCAACACAGTCGTATAACAAATAGAATATCCATATAAATGAATTAATAACTAAGGTAAGTCCTTTGTATTATCCATTTAGAATTCTTACAAATTCAGTTAACTTGCATTCACTTTTTTCATGTCTGATCGTTGGGTGATTTTGTGAATGTATATTACGCTTTATAAATGGCATTATATGGCATTCCATAGTTTTCAGACCTAAGGACAGCAGAATAATATTGTACAAATAATAAGCAAAAGCCACCTACGTGATTCCTGCAAGCCCCCTTCAATACACATGGAATCCTACCATTACATTGCCTATTTATTTACGAATCAGTGTTGTTGTTTTTCTTTAAAACTAACTTAACCGTTGGAACATGTTTTCATGCAATACTGATAATTACAATTTCAACAAATGTCGTAGGAATTATATTCAGCAGGTGTCAGTATCACGAGCTTACTACAAGAAACACAAATATAATTCATGTACATTACTTCACTCTTTTTATATTAGGAAAAGTCAAAATTTATGACATATTTCAATACGCGTAATGACTGCAAAAGTGCGGTAAAATAATTCATTATGATATTAGAGCAGTAGAGTAATGGTGGGTTTCACAAAAAAATATGTAGGTCTTTGGAAAATATTCAAGGCTTCTTTGCCTTTACTTTTTTGTTCAAAAACGCTAACAATTCCGTAAACTTACTTATCAATACTGTCGTTCAAATAAATTGTACTTTGTAACAGAGTCGTGTGTACGAAGACATATTTTTCTGTCTTACCAGAGAGGCCCAAATTAATTTTTCCGAAATGGAATTAATATAATTTTTACACGAAAATCTTTAAATATACCACACTCACACTCTTACAGTTTTATTTATTTTTCTTTTATTCTTGCTTTTAATGCTGCATTTGCTGCAAATTCGATTTCTGAATCACAGCAGTCACTCATTTTACAGAGTGTAAGCGTATTTGAGATTTACCTCTTTTTAGGAAAACTGTCGCCATTACAGAAAAATATCGAGAAGACTAAATGTACGCTTATTACAAAATACGTAATACGTATCCCAAATCTCATTCCTAGAGGGCAGATTTTTAATGAAATGCCGTTTTTTGTACTTAATATGGATACCTGTAATGTTTATCGATTTCTGAGGGTTTTCCACAAACCTTCGAGAATGATTGCTGTCTTTGGTGATCCCACTTTCTTCCACCATGAGGTTTATTTTTGACCCAAACTTCACTTGCACC